TTTCTTCACTATCGCGCCATTTTCAATTAAAATAACACCTCGGTTTCCATGGTTTTTAATTGAAATTTTTTTATGACCGCGAATAATTGCAGCCACGAATATATCCCGACCTACGGTAATAATCATGATAAAGCACAAGAAACAAAAAGACAAGTATAACTGTGATCTAAATTCTAATGCTTATAATGCAAGGCTGCATGACTTGTAATTAATTGAGTGGAAAAAGGAGTCACATTGATTTACAATTACTCTTATAATAGCACTACATACTCTTAGCTTACCTTTAATCCAATGACTACAGCTATGGGATACCCCAATAGCTCAATGTGTCTCACTCTCTCTCCAATACTCAACTGGGACCTATCATCAAGGACTATCTCACCAGGATACCTTGAATCAAGCTTATCATATAAATCCATTGCTTTAGACATCAACTGTGTATCCTTTAATATTAAAGAAAAAATAGCTATAATAATATGCACATCTCTGATATGAATAAGTACTAGTTTTATCACTTTCAGTATAATATTGTTCCTCACCTTTTTGTTGCCTAAAGGAGTGATGCACACACTCATAGGTGCAATGGATACTGGCCATATCATTTTCCCATTGTTTACAGCTAGACTGTGCTCTATTATTGTCTGCATTAGTCTTGATACACCAATACCATAACAACCCATTTCACATAACCTATGATGAATTGAGAAATAAAAGCTACAGGCATAAAATTAAGACATAAGCCCAAAATATTATGGCAGTTTTTAAAAATTTTGATGTGGTTGGGCAATTAATTTTGATACATAATTTTGATGCTTTTATGGAGATGAAATTGACAAAAGTAAACAATATTCAACAGTCTTCAACTACTGTACAGCTCCAAATTTTTGCCAGTGACAAACAAATTTCATTAAATTTGTCAGGCATTTTTGTTAAACAAAATTTTTGACTGACAAATCTTATCATAATCATTAAAATGGTAGCTAAATATGTAAACAAAAATATGGGTGCAGAATGTACTCATATTAAAATCTATAATAATAGATGAGAAGTTTTACAGCAGTCAAATGTTATTATCTTTTTTCTTGTACATCTCATAGAGGTCATGTATTGTCATGATTAGACTGGAATCTCTGCCAGGTCCAACATGAGAGGGAAGTGTTGAGGGAGACAATTCGTCAACAATAGCTGAACTAACAACAAAAGGAGTCAACACAATTTTTCCATCAAAGATATCTGCAAAAACTGCATCTTTCCAATTGTTAAACCTACTTGATACTCCAATGCTATTAGCAATTTGCTTACAGTAATCCTGACAGTTATTTGAAAGTGCATGATAGGACCCCATATCAACAAGAATGTCATGAGCCTTTGTGATAATGTGAGCAGCAGTAAATGGCTCTGTTGTACCCAATGATAGGGCTTTGAGGTTGCTTTTAAATTTAGAAAGCTTCACATAATTAAGAACAAACCTTGTTTGTCTACGTGTATTATCCACCAAGAGATGAATGAAAAACCCTTCAGTATGGCCTGGTAGAAGAAACAGAATTGAATAATGACCAAGTAAACTCTTATACAGCAAGTACACATCCCACTCATTTTCTTCATCATAATTTGGGAAAAAAACAAATTCATCGTCCCACAGGGATTGGATATATTTCTTTAATTCATCAGGTGTTGCTCCAGTAAAAGGTTTGCCATACGAAACTGAAGCTGTAGAAGATGGTAAATAGCAAGACATACTGGATCATACACCTCCTTATGTGAGTGATGAGACAAGACAACAAGACTGGGTTTATACACGGGTGGTTTACACAGGTGGGTTGAATTCATGAATATTGTTGGGAAGCAAGACACAGAAAATATGAATCAAAGTGGAATAGTTTTATAATTTATATACAAGCCCATTGAATAGTTAACCAAAACAAATGCAGGTTTGTACCCACATACATGTACACGTACATGTACATGTATGTCATTGCTATTTAAATGTAAAGCTCCTACGGGGATGAATGCTAAAGAGAAGTTCTTAGAAGACCTTCATTGTTTGTGAAAAAAATAAAAGAGGGAGATAGATTTTGATCCACAGCACAAGAAAAAAGTGCGCAGCCATCCCAAGTAGATCCCATAGATCATCTTACAGTAATGATAGAATACCGTCTATCTGGAAATTTTTACTATGATTTAAATTTTACTGATTTAGAATTTTGCAAAAAAAATTAGATCACCCATATAATTACCACATTCAATAATACATGACACAGTCTTATTTAGTAAAATTTAAATCACAGCACAATTTTATAACACAAAAGTTTTCTGTCACACTAATTTCCTGATCTACGCCACGGTATATTATATACCATGTCTTCTTGGTGTGTATTAGCAATAATTATGAAACCCAAGCCCTGAGATACATGTATCTGCCCGATTGCTAATACACACCTCGAAGGCATGGTATTTGTATTAAATACATAAATGCTTTGTTAGCTTAGGCTTGCCTCTTAAATAGTTGTAGTAGAAAATTATTGCTTGCAGTCACATGCAAGCAAATGAAGAAAATTAATAAAATTTCAGTTTCATGTTATTTTAACTTTACTTTTGTTTGTCATAAAGTGCTGTAAATTTTTTTGAATAAGTAGTACCAAGGAAGAATGCATGTGCCACCTGTAATGAGGAAAAAAATAATGATAAAATTAACAAATGTATGTGTATTTTATGTTTTTGTCATTGCATGTTTAGAATTTTCATTCATAATAGTAAGTACATAAATCGCACTCACTCTATTGCCCCACTATTACTTACTACTTTCTAGTATGTATAAATTATTTAATAGCCTTTACATTTATAAAAAATTGTCCTAGAACGCTAGATGTACACATAATTAATAATAGCAGTCCCAAGCGTTTACACACCTCAATTCCTTTGTATTGTGAAACTGGACACTTCTCTTCATTTAATGGACAATCAGGAAGACTACCAGTAGCACTGTCTCCTGTCACCTCATAATTAACAGCATGACCACATCTATCATTAAAGTAATGGATATAATTTTTTCACTTAGTACAAAATCATTTCCAAAACCCGATCTACACTTCCATAGGACAGCCATTTATAATGATGACATTATGCATGATGAAATACTTATGTGCTATCAATATCAAGCAAGTAGCATGTCATGTGACACCCCCCTTGACCTCTATCA